TATTCATTACACCGGAGCGAGTCTTTCTCAGCTGGCGAGTCTCACCAGAGTCTCGTCACACTGCGAACAGTTTATTAGTTATGAGTGCCGTTATTCACAGTTCTTCAGAGGTAGTATTGGATGGTGGGTGTCACGGGATTCGATCAAAATGAATTACTGGGGAGGGGCGTCACCCGGCAGTGGTAAGTGCGCATGCGGGATGACCAGGTCATGTCCATACCCTGCTAATATGTGTAATTGTGACAAGGAAGACGGCGTACTGCGTGAGGACAGCGGTCTCCTTACTGACAAGACACATCTTCCGGTTAAACAGCTGAGGTTTGGTGATACAGGCGATTCTGGCGAGGAAGGATATCATACGCTCGGAAAACTTAAGTGTTATGGCATACAGTAATATTACTCTCAAATGATCTCATATGGACAGGTATCACGAAGAAGACATGATTTGAACATTCATCAGCTCATATCTTACAGTTTATCCAAGATGAAAAAGTGCAGTTACGTGAAAACTAGAGTAACTCTTTTCATAACTAATGAAACATAGCATGACAGTAGTTGGCCTGCTGTTTATTCCATCCTAATGTCTGATGAAGTAAATTCTAATATGACTTCGTTGTTGACGTCTTAGTGGTATCAAAATGCGTAGGAAACTTTTTTTGAATCCCAAACGCTTTACAAATCAACTGATCGCTTCCACGCTGTAAATGTCAAATCAATGGCTCTACTTATGCGCCGATCATTTCGAAGCTTCAACATTCCCCCCTGGGCAACCCACGGGCATGTGGCTGTCGTCTATGTCCGGGGGTGGGGTATTGGAACCTTGCCTGGGTGGGTGGGGAATTTTAACCAGAAGTCTTAAGTCTTACCAGCGGTACACGGGTGCTGCATCTTTTAATATGAAGGTGTTAAAGGTAAAGAGTTCTCCTTCGCGAGCAGATGGCTCGGAAAAATCAAATTGGTCTACAAGGTCTTGGATAGTCAAACCAATTGTTGGTCAATTAGTATAGAGGGTCTATGCAGCTGATCTTACCTTTTATAGAAAAATCAATCATCAAATCCGGCGCTTGGACAGGGCATTTGAACACAGTTTTCGCCCACTGGGGCAGG